AAGTAATTTACAAACTCGGCTCATGTTTTATGTTAAAGGTTAAGTTTCCTGCTGACTCAATTCACTGTGCAAAGAGCTTTGCTTTCATAGCTAAACAGGTAAATTGAAAACTGCCAAACTTGTTTTAAGCTTGACTGAAGTTTTCAGTGACCCTTGTTTCTGAATCAAAAGAAAGGCTGCTGAATGAATGAGCCCATACAGAGATGGGCTCAATATAAGCTTGAGTCTGAACATGTATGCATCATAACATCCATTGCAGTAATTCTGACCACAACGGATCAGTTCTTATTTCTGCCTATTTATAAGTGGCAAAACACCCAACAGGCAGATTTTTTTAAACGGGGGAGGAGGGGGAGAGACACCCACCACCTTATTGCTTTTACGGGCTTTTCTGATCATTTTATCTGCATGATGCCTCCCTCTTCAACAAGGGGTTTTTGGAATGTCTATAAGGAAGTGAGACTTTGAATTTTAACCACTTCTCCGCAAACTATGATGATGTTGTGCAACCCAAGAAGGGGAAAAAAAAAAAACAGGAAGAAGGAAGTGTTGACTGGCCTTTTTCTGAGATTATAAATCTGTTTACAAGACCACTTTTGGCAGGCAACAAGTGGGGGGAAAAAATCAGTCTATAACTGAGAGGCACATGCTCCCTGATGGCCTAGAGTGTTTTCCCAACAATGTTCCTGCTTATAATACTGGTAAAAGGAACAGGAGAGGATTTCCTTTGTCTATCACTAACTGTCTACATTCAATTTACTTGAGCATACGCTTTCGTGAGCTACAGCTCACTTCATCGGATGCATACTTTGGATAATAAGCTATTACCAGCAGGAGAGTGGGGTGGGAGGAGGTATTTTTCATGCTTTGTGTGTATATAAAAAGGATCTTCTACGCTTTCCACAGTATGCATCTGATGAAGTGAGCTGTAGCTCACGAAAGCTTATGCTCAAATAAATTGGTTAGTCTCTAAGGTGCCACAAGTCCTCCTTTTCTTTTTGCGAATACAGACTAACACGGCTGTTCCTCTGAAACCTGTCTACATTCAGTGTGAAGTATGATCTCAAAATGTGTCCCAACAAGCTGCAAGAGTAGTGTAGCAGTTAATACTGTACTTCACTAGCTCCAGTTGTAAAAAGTCTCTAATCACAGCACTTAAGTTTATGCCACAGCATAAACAGAAAATCTTAGATAATTTTGTCCAGAGTGGTCAAACAGTGCATGGTTCCGAAGTTCAACTCATTTTGTTGCTTAGTCATTTATAAACATTTGCTAATCTAGACCATGTGGAATAGCTAAATTCTGCAAAGGATTTTGTTGCAACATAGTTTCCTAGTCTGATCTTGTGACATCTTTGTGCATTTAAAACCATCATAAGGGCAAAATGTGAGATCAAGGGTTAGTTTGGGGCAAGAGTTTTCTAAGTAGCAGCATAATGCACTAGACTCCAACAATGGCCTTCCCATGAGCTATTTCTGACCAGTTTTCCCCTCATCAAAAGCTCAGTCAAGGCAGTTTTACAAATCCAGTCAATAAGCAAGCTTCATAATGCAGACACAGAAATGTTCAATCCCGCAAGGCTACCACTGATACTGAGTCACAGTGCTACATCCATGCACTGCTGGCAAAGTTAATGCCAAATGTTACATTACTGTATATAAATTGTCCATGAACTCATTGTTAAACAAAAAGAGGGTGGCCGTACGAGACCTGTGCACCACAACGCTGCCTCCAACACAAATGTACCCATCCTTTCTGGATTATAGAATGGAGCTAACTTTGAAACTGGGCACGATCCTGCTTTGCCAGCTGCCAGTAAAAGGTGTGGGAGAGGACACACCATGAACATATAAACCTCTCCTGTGGATATTATCAATTCACACTGGTATATAGTGCCTGGGCTCTTCACATAACAAGCAAAGTCATGGTCCCCATCCTGAGAGCTTAAATCTAAGGGCACGTCTTCACTAGCACTGTAAAAAAACCACCTCCCCCATCCTGAGAGCTTAAATCTAAGGGCACGTCTTCACTAGCGCTGTAAAAAAAACACCTCCATGAGGGAGTGGCGACCAGCACTGGGAGTACAGCTATCAGCACTGGTACGCTGCCACTTTACAGTGCTGAAACTTGCAGCGCTCAGGGGTGTGTTTTTTTCACACCCTTGAGCGCTGCAAGTTTCAACGCTCTAAAGAGGCCTTGTCTAAACTGCCAAAGTTAGATACATGACATGACTGATTTGAATCAGTGAAATAACTGCTTGTTTCTGTATGGTACACATGAGCAGTTTTAATTTATTACAACTAGACTGCATTAGGTTGGAGAGAAAGTGGAAATGAGAAGTGGATTTGAGATGGAGGCTATAATGTATGCAGGAAGGACATGACTGGCATAGGGGCAGCAGGGGAAAAAGGTGAGTACAGAGGCATTCATGTGCAAAGAGTAATAGGAATAAAAGAACAAAACTCAGGGAAGGGTGGGGGAGGAAGGGGAAAAAGTCAGAGCTGTGTAGAACCTAGAAAGTGAAGATGGAATTCATTCCCTTCAACAAGTGTGAATATCATCTGTGATGTTCTCACTTAAGTTTTGATTCCTTATCATAAACCTTGGAAAGTTTCAATCACACCTATAGTGTAGCAGCTAATACTGTACTTAACTAGGTCCAGTGGAGTTGAATATCCCAATTGTTCTTAGGGTTTTTTTTGCATGTGGCATTTCATATGTAACAGAGTATAGAAAAATTGCCTGAAGTGATATATTGGTACATACAGTGCTGTGAACATAGGCAAACCACTATCTACACTTCCATTGGCTCAGTAGCTTTGGACATTAGAAGTTAAAGAAATACAACCCTTTTTCTTCTTATTTGTCTTTAAAAAAAAAAAAAAATCAAAGAAAATCAGTACACTGAAGATATACTGCAGGAACAATCCTGTATTGGCAAGGGAAAGGCTAGGTGACCTTACAAGTTATCCATGCCTGTGCCACCCCAAGACTGGATTAAAGCAATGCATGCTCCATGAGATGGCTAAGAGGGGCTATGGATAAAGGTTTATAAAATCATGAATGGTGTGGAGAAAATGAATAAGGAAGTGTTATTTACCCCTTTACACAACATATGAAGCAGGGATCACCTGATGAAATTAATAGGTAGTAGGTTTAAAACAAACCAAAGGAAGTACTTCTTCACACAGCGCACAGTCAACCTGTGAAAATTGTTGCCCGGGGTTGTTGTGAAGGACAAAAATATAACTGGACTAAAAAAAGAATTAGAGAAGTTCATGAATGATAGGTCCATCAATGGCTATTGGCCAAGATAGCCAGAGGTACAGCCCCTTGCTCTGGGTATCCCTAAGCATCTGACTGCCAAATGCTGGGACTGGATGACAGGATGGATCACTTGATAATTGACCTCTGCTGTTCATTCCCTTTAAAGCATCTGGCATTGGTCACTGTCAGAAGACTGGATACTGGGCGATATGAACCATTGGTCTCACTATGATCATTCTTATGGTTTTACACTTGAAAACCAATGGGAAACTTCTGGTAGTGTAAAGTATGCCAGCCTGCTTGCTTTGTGGTGCTTCCTGTAGGAAATATCCCATCATCTTCCAACGCTCACTGTCTGGCTGCAATTCACAGTGGTGTTTGACTCCATGTCCTAATGGCTTAGGAAACAAGTTACACAAGAAACAGTGTAAGGTCTCTACAAAGGGTGATGTAATTATATTCCCAAAATTTATCTCCCACAATATACTAATTTGTTTACTAAGGTGGTTTTATAATCCCCCTGATTACAATACCAAATTCTCTGTTGCCTTAAGGAAAAAGGCTACTTCAAATTCTTAGGTTTTCATTTTTGTAGAATTTCATTTTCCTTTGAAATGGTTTGGTTACTATTATAAACAATATGTACTTAGGGTTGTACTGTAATGGTAATGCCAACACAGATGTAACAAGCCTTGTTGATGTGGGGGGAAGTGGTAGATGTGGTATACCTTGATTTTTATTAAGTCTTTTGATACGGTCTCATGTGATCTTTTCATCAACAAACTAGGAAAATACAACCTAGATGGAGCTACTATAGGTGGGTGCATAACTGGTTGGAAAACTGTTCCCAGAGAGTAATCATCAGTACACTGTCAAGATGGAAGGGGATATCGAGGGGCCGTGGGGGTACCGCTGGTACTTATGCTGGAGCATGAAACAATTGATTTAAGGAGTCATCTTTTTTATGAAGATGAAATCCAAAACAACGCCTACTATAGTTGCACTGTATGTCTATCTAATAGGATTTTATTGGTCAGACGCCCCTCCCTCCCAACATTTTGTTCCCTTAAACAATCTTTACCTCTCAGGTGGCTGAGGATTCACACAGTCTTGGGCCTCATTTTGCCTTAACCCTAAAATCTCTGGTTATAGCAACAACAGGCACAACACATGTAATTAAGTGGTTATTGTGAATCTACTATATCACAGAATATATTCTTCCACCATAAACATTTCCATACTTTTTAAATGCTAAATCATGCTCTAATTCTTAAGCGTAAGTCTACTCTGAAAAGTGACTTTAAAAACAGCACTGTGGAGATTCATCTCTGTTTAAATGATTTCCAGGTTACATTTACCCAGTTTACATAGGCAATTTTCCAGCCCTACAAACTCCCATATGGCTTCTTCCATTCTCACACATCAGCACTGACAGATTCTGCGAGCAAAACTATGCCTTGAGTGCCACCTGGGTAACCACATTGTCTTTAGAGGCTTTTAACAAATCTGATATATATATATATGAAGGAATAAAACGGCTCACATTCTTTGCTGTGTTGGTTGACACTAAAGTCCTGTGTGCACTCAGAGTTGTATCTGTGGAAAAACTGAGTAAAAATATGCCCTTTTTATATAGTCACTCTTCAGAGCAGAACTGCACTTTAAAAACCTAAGTTTACATTCATGCTTTACATATCTTTGGCAAAAATATTTATATGATCTTCTCAGTCTACCTGTGCATTTGTATAGCATTCCTGTCATGGTCCCAGCAGCTACTGTGTTCAGGTCATCTTCTGCACCTCGTGTTTTCTCTATGACGACTCCAAATGCGCTGTAAAGCAATGCTGGGAGAGGAATTAAAGTTATTGGTAAAATATGAAAACATTTGCACCAAATTACCTTTCCATCCATGTTCTAGAAGAGATAAGATTAACCAGGCCTTGGATTCTGGTGTCAAATGCAGCTTTCAAAGCTATCCATCCTGAGCTCACCATTCATATTTTTCATTTCTGATGGAGTCTTTGCAACTTCCCTTTACTCCTACTATTAATGCCTTAAGGCTATATCTTTGGCCTTTTCAGTCTTTAACATTACATCATTTCTATTCTATAAGGAGGACATCTAGGTCTTCCCTCATTCTAAATTAGGATATTCGGTTTCTCAGAATTTTCAACTGTACTATAAGCTCTTTGTTTCTATCTGCATATAATAATTTTGTCCCTATACATGAAGAGTGGCACCACCTTACACACTTAGTTAACAGGAAAGCATCAATCTGAGGGACCCTCCCTGTGGCAAAAGGAAATCTATGCGTTCTTAATATGGTTGCATGAGCCCAAGCCAGCAAACATAAAGTAATCCCTGGTATAATGTAACAATATCTAGAATCTTCATACAGGGCGAAGAACTTCATATCACTCAAAACAATATAGATACAATACTGTTAGTTATTCTTGCGGCTCTAAAAGCCAGACTATGATACCTTTACTCACATGATTGTACTTTACTCCTCCAAAAACAGCCCCACTTAAAATGCTACTGAATATTAGCAAGGATATTGATCTGGCCTTAAGGGTGCAGTATTAGAGGAAAAAAAATTCTTGTTCAACAGAATCCTTCAAAATGGATCACTCCATAAGTGGACAACTGTAACATTATTGAACCATCTCTGCTTAGCAGAGACTCTTGAAAATTAACACAAACAGCAAGGTGGAAGAGGAGAGGGTTGCTTCTTATTTTTGACACACACATACAAAGCACTCCACACTGAGAAAAAGCCTGGCACTTCCCCAGCACCTAGCACAGGAGAAGCCAGAACCAACTCTCATGTCATGCCTGGCACTCCGAAGGACTATAATATGCTAACCAGAAAGGTCATGTTCTATATGAAATTTGCACACTAGTAGGCCACTGGAATGCATGCCAATATAAGGCAAATACTGAAAAAGGAAGATTACTCAAGAAAACAAACACAGCTGTAAAAAATCTGTTAATATATCACTCATCACACTGGAACCTTGAACTGCAACATGCAGCACCTTTTTCAGACGTGTGTTTTTATCTATATTGTTTTCCAGTTTTATAATCAGCTAATAGGTAAACCTAAAAGAGAACTGCCATAATGGAAAAGACCCAAGGTTCATCTTTTCCAGTATCCTGTCTGACAGTGGCCAATATCTTATACTGCAGGGTTCTTGTGCCTTCCTCTGAAGTACCAGATGTGGGATAATCTGCTCCCCACATTGGGTCATCCAGATTTCTAAGAGTTACAGATAGATATTGAACCTGGTGCTTCAGGATTTAAGCTTATTCCAAAAATTGGTGTAAATTATAACTCTGGATATCTGTGAAATTATCCAGTCCCTTTTAGAATCTTAAATTCTTGGCATCAACTTCCTCTGACAATAAATTCCCTAGTTTAATTACACATTCTGTGAAAAGTAATCCCTTTTATCAGTTTTTTGAATTTCCTACCTTTCAATTTCCTTGAATACCCCCTTGTTCTTGTGTGAAACAGGGAGAACAGAAGTTCCCAATCTACCTTCTCTAGACCATTCATTTTATCAACTTTTATCGTGTCCCAACTTTAGCCTTATTTCTAAGATAAACAACCCCAATCTTTTCAATCTCTCTTCAGGCCCTTGATCATTCTTGTGGTTCTCCTCTGGAGTCCCTTTAGTTCAGCAATGTCTACACTGCAGCTGGGAGTAAGCCTCCCAGCTGGGTAAGACTGCTAGTTTTAGCCTGCTAGCACAAGGCTAAAAATAGCAATGTGGACTGACATTACAGCTCAGGCTTTCAAGTTTAGGGGGTTGTGTGGGCTTGAAAGTCTGAGCTGCAGCCTGAGCCCTGCTAGCTTGAGTCTAGCTGTGAGGACTGCTCCGGGCTGCAGTGCAGACATACCCTAAGAAACTGGATGGCCAATACTGTACACAGTATTCCAGATGAGGGTGCACTATTGATTTATACAAAAGCATTATTTTATTATCGACCATCCCATTCCTTATGCATCCTAACATCTTGTTAGCTTTTTTTAACTGCAGCTGCCCCGAAGTAGAGGTCTTCACTGAGCTTCCTACACCACAACCAAGATCCCTTTCTTGGGCTGAGATAGTTTTGCACCATACAGAGTTCTAAAATTAACTAATCTATATGTCGCTCCAGTGTGCATTGCTACTTTGCATTTAGCAACACTGAATTTCATTTGCTATCACTTTAGGGAGACACACAAAGAAATAGTTTTAGGATGTCTATTGTCCTTAATTACTGGCATTGATCCAGCAGACCCACAGATTTTTGTTCAGTCTTCTTACTTCTGATGTACTAAAACAACCCATTAGTTGGTTATTTTTACACCTTTAGTCTTCAAAATCCATTTTGGACTTTCAAATTTCTCTTAATGTATGTTGTATTTTTCAGAGACAAAAAATGGTGACTAATGACTAAGCAATTGTCATGATACAAATGAAAGGCTGAAAGAATAAGGGCAAGTTAATTTTACAAACGTCTCTCTGATCAGAGGATTAGAGAATTTGGGTGCCCAACTTCAGACACCTGAAAGGGGCCTAGTTTTCAGGCATTGCAGAGCACCATTCTCTGAAAAACTGAGCCTTTTAGATGTCTTAAAGTGGAGACCCAAAATCACCAGCTGTGACTGAAAAATTTAGCCATAGGCTACATCAACTCATTTAGTGTGCCAAGAAACCAAAAAGTTTCAAACCCTTTGTACATTATTTAGTTTGAGATAAGTTGGACTTACCTAAGGATCCCAGAGTGTTGGCCCATAGAGCTCCTTGCCTTGTCACCATATTTAGAATTCTGAAGATTAAAAAAAGGCACTATTTAATAAAACTTAAATACCTTATTTATTAATCAAGTGCCTATGGGCCCCAATCAAGATGAGGACTGCATGGTGCAAAGCACAATGGAATACACAGAATTCTATATATTTAATATGGTAATAACTATAGTATGAAGATCTAATATAAAGCCATTCCATCATCAGAGGAGATTATGTAGTCTTAAAACTTTGTTTTTATATAGAGAGAGACATACGACTTCCTACTAGCCTGCCTGAAGTTTAAACTGATACATCCCTGATGCCAGTCCTCATGTCAGGAGACAATTTAAAACAAATTCTCAGGTTTGACCTCTGATGCTGCTGTTCAGTTCAAAACCCTGTTTCTGTACTTCTGGGAAGCACAAAGTGACAGTCAAATGCAAAATGACCATCTGCTAGAGTGCTTCCAAATGATACCATAGTAATCCCTTTCTAGTCACAAAAGGTATGTTAGGCTTTGTCTACACTAGCACTTTTGTCAGTCAGGGATGTGGGAAAAAAACAAAACCACCTCACTGACAGAAATAAGCTTCAGTGCTATGTCGGCAGGAGAAGCTCTTGGTATAGCTACTGCTGCTCATTAGGGATGGTTTAATGAGCTCTCCCGGCGGCATATAGCGGCTACTTGAGAGACATTATAGTGACGCAGCTGAAGGGGTACAGCTGTGCTGCTGTAAGGACTGTAGTGTAGACATACCTTAAGACTCCCCTAATGATTTAAGAAGTAGGGATGAGAGGAGGGAATTAGACAAGGAAGCCAATCAATTTTCTTCTTGCTGTGTCATTTCTACCTTGAATGCTACAAATGAAAAATTAGCCACTCAATACTGAGTACAAGTATTTGGCCCTGTCAAGTCCTAAACAAAATGGAAAATATCCTCCTTCCAATTCCCACTCTCATCTGGCTTGTACCTCTCCAAGTAATCCAACTTCTCAGTTTTAAAACACGAGTATACTACAGCTGTGAATGACCTGCTAGCTCAACTATAGCAATATTAGTTGCACTGGGTAATTTGTGCTCTTTCCAATGAAAATCATGACTGTCAATATACAGTAGCTGTCAACCAGCCACACAGAAGACACCAAGGCACTCAAAATTGGAAAAATCTTGTAAGTACAGTGAGTGACATCTCTTCATGACAGTTAATATAACAATCTTTGGCAATTAGTGTGGTATGCATTGGGAGGACTGTGATTATGTAGCTAGATACAAGGACCATTATGCACCATGTAATACCTCCAACAGGCTTGAATGATACAGCCATTGTTACCAACAAGAAAAGCTGCGCAGAAAGCCAGGATTACTTTCTAAGCTTAAGAAAAGTCTCCCTTTCAGCAAACAAATGGATGAAGTTTCAATTTTCTCAGACCCTATCAAGTCAGAATCTGATATAAAACATTAAAATTTTAGGCTGGCTGCAGGTACAGTAACTCCTCACTTAATGTTGTAGTTATGTTCCTGAAAACATTGTTTTGCTTAAAGTTACATTTAAGCGAATCCAATTTCCCCATAAGAATTAATGTAAAGGGGGGGGGGGTTGGTTCCAGGGAAATTTTTTTCACCAGACAAAAGACTATATTATGTATACACACAAACTTAAGTTTTAAACAATTTAATACTGGTACACAGCGATGATGACTGAAGCTTGGTTGAGGTGGTGAAGTCCGTGGGTGGGATATTTCCCAGGGGATGTCTTACTGCTAAATGATGAACTAGCAACTGGCTGAGCCCTCAAGGATTAACTCGTTGTTAATGTTGACTCACACTCTACAAGGCAGCGCGAATGGAGGGAGGGGAGACAGCATGGCAGACAGACAGACAGACAGTGTGGTGTGTGTGTGTGTGTGTGTGTGTGTGTGTGTGTGTGTGTGTGTGTGGGTGTGTGTGTGTGTGTGTGTGTGTGGAGTGATTTCCCCTTTAAGTACGCTGACCTCACTCTTAAGTATTTCATGTGTGGTTCCAGACTAGCATTAAAGAGTGAAGGCAAATGCCTAGCACACACTCATGGAAGTATAGCATTGTTCCACACTGGTGGCAGCTGCCTTCAGAAGCGTGATGACAGACAGATGAAATGGCCAGTATCTTTATCTCCCACCAGTGTAACAATGTCATAGGCATGGCACTGCCCTGGACAGCTTACTGCCACTGGAATTCAGTGTCAAACTATGAAAACATGTTTTACATGTATTTGTTTCTGAATTATAAAGCTTGTTTCCCCATTACTTTCCTTTGTAACACTACACTAACTTTTCACTGAAAGACACAGGACAACACTGAATGCTGCTACATTTAAATGAGTTGAAAGGGCATGGAGAAGCTCATTCTGAAACTATCTGGTGTAGTACAATAGAGAAGAGGTGCTCAAGTATATCCATCTATCCAGAACACATCAACACCCTCCATTTTCCCAATTTATCAGTTTTACATCAAGTTTGAGCATTTAAAGAGTCAGGACATGTTTCAAATAGCTGCAATGTTAAATAACGTCTCTAGCTGTATTACTGAGTTATTTTTAAAAAATATTTACATAAATGTAAATTTAAAGTTAAGAATATAGATATCTCTTTAAAAAAAAAGCAAAGCTCATCTAACTGATAGCATACTTAACTAAATATTTCTGTACACCACTGGTCTGCCCTAACCATGTCTGGAGCCTTCACTGGTTACCTTGCTTTCATAAATAAGGTATGGTTTGATTTAAGTCGATGTTATAACCAGATAACAGTATAAAGAGACAGATTAATAAACTACAGGCAAAGAACAGAAATTTATGAAAAAGCCTTTGTAATTAATTCAGTTATTGGCAGCAATTAAAATTGAATTTATTAGCAAGATTAAATTAAGCAAAGACCTTTCAGTGTAAAGTCATTAGAGGCATCAGGCTCAGTCCTGCTCCTAATGACACCAGTGTCAAAACTTCCATCAAGTTTTGGGAGAGGACTGTGCTGCCTGATAAACAGACAGAAGCTCCTGGCATACACTAGTAATAGAAGATATTTCAGACATTTTTCAAAAGTTTGTTCACATTCTTTGTGATGGTGATTATTAAGGATACGACTGTCACAGAGGTCATGCATTCCATGACTTTCCAGGACCTCTGTGACTTCTTCCAGAGTGGCCAGCCCACACGAACTGCAATGTGGCTGGAGCAGCTACCAGAAGTCAGCGCCTGGCAGCACTCCGACTGTTAGTTTCCCTCTGTCCCCTGGGGATTTTTAGTAAGAGTCAGGGACAGGCTTCTGTGAATTTTTTTTTTTTTTTTTTTTAAATTGCCCATGACCTGTCCCTGACTTTTACTAAAAAATCTGTGACAGAATCTCAATCTTAGTGATTACCTAATACAAAATGTAGTGTGAAGGGAATGTAACAAAATGAAACTAAATTTCAGCTTATAAAAGAGACATGTGAGGCGTGTCTACTCCTCTAGCTGAATATGAAAGAGTGGAACTGAGCTCACGATTTCATTGGCCTTGCATAAAAGGACAAACTTAGGTGGAGTATGTGTGTCTGTTGCCCTCTGCTGGCTCAACTTGGTAAGTTTTTCATATGGCAGTCTCAATTAAGAAAAGTAAATAGTTAATTTTCTTGCCTCAAGTTTGCTCACTATGCCCCTCTCCCCCACAATCTATAAAGAAAGGATCTGTTAATAAATCAACCATTTAGATAAAAATAAATTTAGATTTATACTATAGAATATTTGGTTTATATGTTTTCATTTTATACACTGTGAAGGAGGAAGGAAAAGGATACACAAACAATGCTCAAACATGAGAAGTCAATGGGGGGGAAAAAAATCACTAGTGAGTGCTAATTTCCTCCCCCAGATGACTAATTCCACGACGAGGTACTATAGCCAACTTAAAATTACGTTTTTCAACAGTTATGCCAATCCAGTTACGAGAGTCTCCCCAACAAAATCATTCTTGAAGGGGAGGGAGGGAAAGCAGTATATGAAGCCTATTTGTCATACAATCAGCTCACCCTGTTTCTGGAGTTTAATCTAGAGACTTGGAAAGAATATAGCCTGTGCAACACTGTAAGGCGAGATGAGTGCTAGGGATCTCAGGAGTAACAGCACACTAGAACAAATTTTGTGCCTTGGACTGTCCCACAGTGGAACTTCCTCCTGCCCCCCCAGGAAAATATCCAGGTGGACCCATCTGTTTGCTTTCTGTGCTGGCTTGGAGACTGATTCTATTCTGAGGCTGATCTACACTTAAAACTTATATTGGGACAGCGATGTCTGCCAGGAGTGTGAGAAAAGACATATCCCTGACCAACATAATTATGCCAATAAAAATCCCAGTGTAGATGCAGCTATGCTGACTGAAGAGCACTTCTATCTACATAGACAATGTCACCTGGAGTGGTGGTGTTCCTACACCGGCAGAAAAACTCCTCCTTTTGGCAGAGCTGTGTCTACACTTGGGCGCTATGCCAGCACAGCTATGCCAACATAGTCTTTATAGTATAGACGTAGCCTAAATCTCTCCCTGCCTGATCCTGCAAAGGCTGGGAGTACTGAAGAAAGAGTACTCAGTTCCAGATAAGGGGGAGGGGAAAAAAAAAAAGCAGCCTCTAGACAACTTGTAATCCCTTTGGGAGTACTTCAACCTGTAAAAATATAGTCTTGATGCAAGGTGGGTTTTCAATAAGCATCCAGGGAATGACTAATGTTTCACTTATTCTCTTTCCAGACCCCTGTGAGAAGGGTCAAACACCCCCACAAAAGCTCATTTGAAAAGTAAAATTAGCACTTAACAGATTAACCAAGGCATTTCACAACTCAATTTACCTAATACTGCATTTACGCTTTGTACACCTTGTCCCACAGAAGAGGCAAATGTACTTTTAATTTTGTTATTGTAATATACTCAGTTAGCTTTGAGCCATTCTAATAATGATGGGGTGAAAGTATACATTCATAGGTACATTTATATACTCACTGTACATTTCTAGGTTTGGACCAGGCCATGCTGTGTGTCTCCTTCAATCCCAGCCGCAAACCATTCAGTGCACCAAATGCAGCCCCTATCAACAATACAGTAAACGGACAAACACATTCATTCCCAATCTATAGGACAACATCTCTTCACTTTTATTGTGTCTCATGTACTTGGGATTTAGTACAGTAACATCAATCTTACATTAAGATATTACCTGTCATACAACACCCTCCAATGGTAAAAAAGGCCAGCTCAAACCTTCCCCGAGTTTTGTTTGCTCCCGTGGGTAAGATAAACTCATCTGTATCCTGAAACAGAAGAAAAGGTAAGTGTTTATACATTTGTACTTTCGAAGTAGGCATGGTTTCAGACACATCTCAAATTCTCTCTGTTGGCTTAACCATACTAAGGTTAAAATACAAAACACACACTTCCACATAAATGCTGCTGAACACCATGGGTGGCAGGGGAAAAAAAAAAAAAATCAGGAATACTCTTGCCTCTCACTAATTATGTTACAAAAAAAATTCAGATTGGAATAGATTAGATACAAATTCTAAAAAAGGGAGATTTTAAATCTGCAAGTTTAAATCTGAGATTCTCTTCCTAGACTAGTATTTCCAGCTAGCTCAATATGAAGTGAAAAAAACCAAGAAACTCAGTATGCATTAATCAATCATTTGTACAATGTTTATTATTACTTATGCCTCATAGCAGGCAATTCAATGTCTAGCCTCTGAAAGAAAGCAACAGGACAGCTGCTTCACCGAAGCCCGCACATCAATAATAAAAGAATTCAGAAGTAAGATATGTTTTTACAATTTGTTATGCAGTTTACAAGTCTAGCACAATATCTGCCCTTTAGCCAATTAACATGTGAAAAAGAACAATTGTAGTTTCACAGTTCTGTATTTTTTCTGACTCAATATTTCATCTTCCTTGGTAATTTATATTTTCTGTGGTAAGATTTTCTTTAAGGTAGATAGTAAGTTTCCTTCTTCACTCTAGACAGTAGATATAGCATCTAACAGTTTCCACTTTCGTTCTCAACACATCAGATGTGGGAGAGCAAAGCAATCAACGTCTGCATATTTTTTCTAGCAAACTCCTCCTTTGCCAAAGATAGATCATAAGGTGATCCTGGTTGAGAATTCACAATATTCCCTAACAGTGTTGCTGTAGCATTTGATATTAAATGTATTGTTTGTACAAAATCTATGGAAATTTTCTTTTGTATTTTTCCAACATTATGACTTGTCAGAAAGAAAATGTGTTGCTTGGTTCAAAGATATCTGTACTCCAGAAGTTTAGTAATTTTTACAGTTAGCTCAATTAGAGTGGGTAGACTTGGCAAAAACACACAGACTTCAGGCCTGGTCCACGCATAAAGTTGCACCCGTTCAACTAAAGATGTGACATTAAACTGATTTAGTTAAACCAGTGCAATTTTGTGAGCTGACACTCTTACACTGATTTAAACTTGGTTTATATCCATTTAGCTTGCACCTGAAATGCATAGGTGCAAACTAAACAGATAAACCAGACTTAAACTGCTGTAAGTGTCCACACAATTGCACTGGGTAATAAATCAGTTTAATGTCACACCCCTAGTTCAACTAGTGCAATTTCTCTGTACAGATTAGTCCTCAGTCTCTGCTAAACCTTATGTCAGAAAGCACAGTTAAGATTTTTTTTTTTTTAAATGATCTCCTTCCCCTGTCTGTTCTGTTGGGATCCAAACAATTCTTAGCTTCATTATTCCCAAAATCACTGGGGACATTGGATGAAATTCTAGAAAATTCTGGCTGTCATGTTATGGAACGCACTATGAATTACAAAATGAAATGTAGCGACACTCATACACCATGATGCCTAAATAGTGTATAAGAGACCAGCAAATTCAGCAAAGCTGGTGCACGGTCTACACTGGTACTTTACAGCGCTGAAACTTACTGCACTCAGGGGTGTGTTTTTTCACACCCAAGTGAGAAAGTTACAGTGCTGTAAATTGCCAGTGTAGACAAGCCCAGAGTCTGAACATGGCATTCACTACACACTCTGGGCCCAGAATGGACCTGGATTATGTTTTACCCTTCATTTCTCTATGCTAACCTAAGGACTTCCTATGCTGTGTTCCAGTTGACTAATAAAGCCTACTGCTTTGACAATGCCATGTGAGGGTCACTGCAGATGCTTGGTGAGGTGTGTTAATCCCTGAATATACAAGTCTCTACCAGGAGCCTATCTCAGTTGGATTCGCTGAACAGAGCTCACAGTGTGAAACATGAGTGCTGGAGCTCCACATGTTCAGCCTTAGGAGGTGGTGAGGCCCGGTGGCTTACTTTGAAGGAAGAATGAGCCCCTATGGGGGGGTCTGGCATACTGAAGGGATTCCTCCAAGAGACTGTTCCAAAGCTGGGGGCATAGCACAGATCCAGTGGATTCATGATACTACTCTCTCAGTTAATATTGGTTTGTTATATCAAAGCAACAACATTTGTTGAGAACTAAGGAAGTCAGTGTAGAATCCTTACTTTTCAAGGGAAAGGGGAGAGAAGAAAACATTTCTCCTTTTCCACTGAATCTTTTCATCAACACTTTGAATTGAGTTTTCTGAGTGAGTTTCTGCAACACCCTATGGACTGATAACTACTCCTGAGGGCATTCTGTGCCTAAAAATTATATACCAAAAAATAAATATGCGCACAATTATTTTAAAATTCTGCAAATTTTATTTGTCAAATAAATGTGGAGGCTCCAGCATGGCATTGGGGAGCACAGGCTACTGGCTGCACAGAGGTGGGAGATCACTCTGCAGCTTCCCCCACCCCCAGGACACTGGCTCAGCGGTGGGGATACACCCAACCCTGACGCAGCGCAAGGACTGGACCTGCCCCAGAAACACTCCAGGGCCTTGCCCCTCTGTGCCAGGTACACCAGGTGTGAGCATGCAGGCTCAGCAAGGCACAGTCCAAGTGTGGAGGGACTTAGTGTATGGGGGATCTATGTGTGGGTTGAGAGGGTTCTGTGTGAGGCAATCTGGATACAGGTGGCTCAGTGGGGGGATCTGGGTGCAGGGGAGATCTGGATGCACAGGGGCTTATTGAGGGAGGTTCTGGGTGCAATGGTAATGGGACTCTGCAGTGAGGTCCAGGTGACGGTGGTTGGGGCTTGGCGGGAGGGTGAGGGGGTGTGTGTCTGGGTGTAGAGGGTTCAGTGAGGGGGTCCAGATGCTGGAGGAGTGGGACTCAGTGGGATGGGGATCCAGGTGTAGCTATTTGGCGCTCGGTGGGGTGGGGATCCAGGTACAAGTGGCTCGTAGAGGTGGTCCAGGTGAAGGGGGAGTGGGGCTCTAAAGGGAGGTTCTGAGGGCGGGGAGGCTCGGCAGGAGAGGGTCTGGATGCACGGGGGTTAGGCAGATGGGGGAGCAGCTCCCCATACAGTGATCCCACTTCCCTGTAGCTGAGGAGCGATGGGCGCAGGAAGCGGGCAGGGAGGTCAACTCCCTCTCAGTCAACTGAGAGTTATTTTATAAGGGATACTTTTAAATTAAACTAATTCTGACGTAGGTGATCTCTCCTCTCGGGTGTAGGATCCAGCAAAGGGAAATGATTAAGCGTAGTATCAGTTTCACAACTGATACATCCTCTTGTTGGGTACTAGATCTTGACCTGGAAGGAAGCATGACTTAAGATTCTAGAAGTTCCATTTCTAATTTGAACTAATTCACACTGTGTCCCTAAACTGGATTTCTCCTCTCAGACACTGTGACATCAAGAAGTTGTATTAAATACTGTGCTGAAACTTTGTTCTCAGACTTCAAGTGATGAATAGTATAAAACTTAATATGGTTCCATACAAATTTTAAGTTTTCAGCTTAGTTCAATTTGTCGCTGATACAGGAGAGAAAAATCAGACCTCTTTACTTTAGGAAAAGCAGCTCTACACAAGGGAGACAGTGACTCATTTAAGATAACTGACTTAATAGAATCAAAATAGAAACATGCTTCTTACCTGTATTAAATATCTGGGATCCACATTTAAATAAGGAGACAAAGGGCTCATTCCAGTTACTGAATGAGGAAGAAAAAGAACTTTGTTACTGGTTTCAGAGTAGCTGCCGTGTTAGTCTGTATTCGCAAAAAGAAAAGGAGTACTTGTGGCACCTTAGAGACTAACCAATTTATTTGAGCGTAAGCTTTCGTGAGCTACAGCTCACTTTATCGGATGCATACTGTGGAAACTGCAGAAGACATTATATACACAGAGACCATGAAACAATACCTCCTCCCACCCCACTTTCCTGCTGGTAATAGCTTATCTAAAGTGATCACTCTCCTTACAATGTGTATGATAATCAAGTTGGGCCATTTCCAGCATAAATCCAGGTTCTCTCACCCTCCGCCCCCCCTCCTCCTCCCCCCCCACAAACTCACTCTCCTGCTGGTAATAGCCCATCCAAAATGACCACTCTCTTTACAATGTGTATGATAATCAAGGTAGTCCATTTCCAGCACAAATCCAGGTTTTCTCACCCCCCACCCCCATACACACACAAACTCACTCTCCTGCTGGTAATAGTTCATCCAAAGTGACCACTCTCTTTACAATGTGTATGATAATCAAGGTAGTCCATTTCCAGCACAAATCCAGGTTCTCTCACCCTCCCCCCCGTAAACATCTTTGTAAATCAATTTATTTATAGACAGACTGGTACAAGTTGTATAGATTATTATTCTTAGGTGCAAAAGTTACACATTTCTTTTATTTTTCTTTAAGCCTATAGCCAGGCTGAGATGAGCAAGATGATATTTTGTCCGAAATCAACCTGATGACCCCCTAAAACAGGACTATCTGACAAGTAATTAAATGCTTACTACAGATCCAATTGCCTAAGTCATACTTAGCTGTCAAATCCATTCAACTATATATAAAGTCTTGTATAGGTCATCTCAAAAACTGAAGTTTTTCTCAAACTAAGAAGCAAGGCCCCCTTATCTGCTTATCACTCCCAACAAGGACGTGATCATTTTCACGTTTCTGTGCCAAAAGCAGCTTGTATGAATAAATCCTGGCCACCCTCTCAGGCGCCACGCTAGTAATAGCGGATGGAAACACTGAGAGACAGTCAAAGTGCCCAGGGCCTCAGCTCGCACCCTCGATTAGTGCTTTCGCTGAAGACCGATGTATTGCGTGCCGGCTCTTGACCCCCGCTTCTCGGCCACTGGCTCCTCTACGATTGCACAAGACTCGGAGGCCGCAGAGGGCAGCGCACCCCGCCCGGTACCCGTGCAACGCTCGTGACTGGGGCTAGCTGCTTCCCAGGGCTCGAGTCAGTGCCCGCTACCGGGGCGCGCGGGGCGAGAAGCGAGCGCGGTCGTCCCGTCCCGTCCCCCCCACAGGAGGGTTACTGCACCTCCACCTCCTCTATTTCCCCCTCACTAGAGCCAGTTCTCCTCCTCTAACCCCGCCGGCGCGCCCCGGTTCTGCCCCGCGGCCTCGAGTCCCGCCCGCCCCCGGGGATATGGGGGGGGGGGGGGGCTCGCCGAGCGTGGCGGGAAGGGCAAGAGGCCGGGCCCGGCCGGCCGATACTCACATGGCACCCCGGCCAAGTCCGCGTGGGAATAGCCCGGGCCCCCGGCTCCGCCAGCACCGAACAGGCCGCCGAGGCCTGAGCCCTTCGAGTTGCCACCCTCCATGCAGCCGCCTTTGGACAGGGTCTGGCCTTGACCGAGCCAACGAACAACCGCCCTGCCGCCCCCTCCCTCGCCCGCTGCTACTGCTGCCGTAAAGCGAGTCCTCAGCGCCGCAGCTTTTACGTCTCCGGTTCCGCTTTACGACGACCCCGGGCATGTGGCTTTCCGGCCCAAGGAGGCGGGGCGACGGAGGAGCTGTTGCTATGGGGAGAGGGGGAGACATTTTGAGGTGTGTGGCCGCGGCCCCTGCCCCCCCATTGGCCTGAGTCCAGCCCTGTGCGGGTCCCTGTTCCCTGTCCGCTCGCTGCTCCCCGGAAGGTCTGGGGCGTGGGAGAGCCGGGCGAGCTGCCCCCGACGCACCTTCGGCAGCAGGAGGATGTGGAGGGGAAGGGCCCCCGCCTTCTCTCCCCTGGGGGCTGCCTCTCCTCCCTGGTGAGCCCAGCGCCGCAGCGCGTTTGGGGGTGCGCGCAGCCGGGGGGGTGTCTCCTAAGCATGAGTGCAGGGGCTGAGTGTGAACCCCCCAGGAAGAGAGTCAGGTTGGCCCCCCCCGCCTCTCCCAGCGGCAGCCGCGGGTCGGAGGAAGAGCAGCCCCCTTCCTTGGACAGAAAAGGGACACTGCAGCCTCCGTCTTCTCTTCCCCCTCTCCCCCGGGAACGAGGGCCCAGAAGCAGCGGTAGTTGCCAAAGCTTGGCAGCCACGGTGGGGAACAAAGGTTTGTGCCACCCGCCTCCTTTTAACCTTCTTCCGTGCATCTCTTTCTGTGGCTGGTTTTCGTCTCTTGTCTGACTGGGGAGAGTCTTTCCCTGTATGTGTGTGTAATTGTGATTCCCTTCCCCATCCCCCCAGCCCCATGTCCATCGGAGAAGCCAAGATTGTACTAAGTGCACAGAGACAAGTATCAGAGTGGTAGACAAGTGCACAGAGACAAGTATGTTGTTCAGTCTTCTGATTGTTTTGTTTGCTTTCATGTACTTAAAATAAACAGGGCAAATGATGTCTTCACTAACTACTCCCTACTAGTCACCACCATGCCTGTAGAAAGAGTTCATTTCCCCCTTTTTTCTTGGAGTTAGGCTTGTTAAGATTTGAGACTTTTTATAATCTTTCAGAACATAGTTTTGCTAGGTGTATATTGAGAGCAATAGTTAACCTAGCTAGAAAACTGACCACTTTTCAAATATATAAAGCGCTATATGCGTGATGAACTTAATGGAGAGAAATGCTTATGTTAAATTATAAGGAATTCACTTGTTTCAATGGCCAAAAGTTTCTCATGTTCATCCAAATCTGGTCATCCATTGGGATTACAGGAAGTAATGATTGTCAGATTTAAACATTGGAGGCCATTGCAGTGATGAGATTTGGTTGTTGTAGAGGTGAATGGAAAAAGAAAGACAGGGATACGGACAGAGAGTAGAAATGAAGCCAGAGGAGGGAAAGTACTGTACCCCAACAAATTAAGAACACTATGACTTGCAACTGCTGAGTTTCTTGGCTGCTCTGCATGTTTTTATTCCACCAAAACTTCAGATTGTTTACTGGAGTAGCCAAGTTAGTTAAAAGGCTCCAACTAAATGCTTTATGTAGTGGGTTGTTTCAAGGTGAAGATTTAAGTCTTACTGGGTTGTACCATCATATTTGGGGCTTTTTAGCAGCAATCCAGTTATGACAAATACACAGATTGTCAATTACTTTAATATATTTTGAACTTAAAATTCTACTTCAGATTTAGAAATCAGATTTTTTTTGTTGTAAGATTTTGGTTAATAAGAGAGATTCTCTTCTACCTTTCCTTATGTGCTATCTTACCTTCATAATACTAAAATATAAAATAAAATAACAATAAATGGTAGCATTCAGTTACATACACTTGAAAATACAAATTCTAAATTCTGTTCTTCCTAAAACTGGACATGCATTTCAAGAAATTTTCTGGTATGAAAGGATGGGTGGATTGTACATTCACAAAAGAAAAAAGGACTAGATTAACCCAAAAGAGCAAGTTACATACATTCTCTATTTTGAACTTTGGAACAACTGAGTGCATAAACTAAGGCTGCTCCAGCTCATTTTTAATACTCTCAGTATTACAAGGCCCATGTTTCATTGTACAATGTGCACCAATTGGCTTTATCAGTCAAGTATATTATGATACTAAAATTGTATGAAGAGCAAGGGAAATTCAGCTTAGTGAGGATGTTCAGGATCTTGTTTCACCCCTTCTTACCTTCTCCCCCTGCCCCACACATTCTGAGAGTTCAGTGGCTAGAATGTGTCTGTCGGTGTTCACTGCTTGTGGCTATGCGTGCACGACATAGACTGTGTCACCATAGCCCCATATAGTAAACGCAGCCTGAACTGACAGAAGAGGTTTTCCTGTTGGGGTAGGCCTCCCTCAAAATGTTAACTGAGTTGTCAGAAACTCTCTTCTTTCAATGTAGCTGCGTCTGCTTTGGGGGTTATATCGGCATAGCTATGTAATTTTCTACGCCATAGCTACATGGTTTTTTACACCCCTGATCGACAGAACTATGCCAATATAATTTTCAAGGGTAGACTAAACCTAGCCACTGATCAATAGAGTGGAGCAGTGGTGGCAGTAGAGAAGCAAGATTGACTATCTTAATTTTGCCATTTAAAGATCCAGGATGTGTCTTTTTCCAGTATACTAAAGGTGTATGTTGGTACCAATAGCTAAAGATACAGAAGCATCTAATTTTCCTGTCTGAGAAGTGAATACATCAAGAGCAGCTGTATGGGTAAGGTAATTTTCCAACCCATTCCATTGAGTCCAGCCAATTACTTTGTATTCATTGTGAATACTAAGTAGCCAATGCACTGACCCTGCTTTGCAGATAATCCTGGGATGGGGAGGAAAGAAACCTGTGACTGTATCCTAAAAGCAAGCCTGGAGTTTACAGGGAATACAAGAGCTAATTACAGATGTTAAATCTACATGTGTTGTAATATTACATCATTAGTCTGGATCAGGGGTTGGCAGCCTTTCAGAAGTGGTGTGCTGAGTCTTCATTTATTCACTTTAATTTAAGGTTTCGCGTGCCAGTAATACATTTAAAAGTTTTTTAGAAGGTCTCTCTCTATAAGTCTGTATATTATATAACTAAACTATTGTTGTATGTAAAGTAAACAAGGTTTTCAAAATGTTTAAGAAGCTTCATTTAAAATTAAATTAAAGCGCTGATCTTACACTGCCAGCCCGCTGCCAGCCTGGGGTTCCATTCACCTAGGCCGGCAGCAGGCTGAGCGGGGTCTGCAGCCGGGACTCCGGCTGGGAAGGGGCTGGCAGCCAGAACCCCAGACTGGCAGCCCAGAACCCCGGGCTGGCAGTGGGCTGAGCGGCTCAGCCCACGGCCGGTCTGGGGTTCCATCCGCTGGCTCCTGCCAGCAGGGTCCCAGCTGCCGGCCCCTCTCAGCCCACTGCTGGTCTGGGATCCCGGCCCTTCCCACATAGAGTGGATACCTACCTTCTCCCTGGTTCTAGCCCATTCTCTTCCTCTCTCTCTGCACTGAACTGAGGGTGGGAGTGCACTGAGCACAGGGCTGGGGGTGAAGGAGCAGGCTGGGGGGTTAGGGTGCAGGGTGAGGCCAGGAGCTAGAATGTGGGAGGGGGCTCAGGATTGGGGCAGGAGGTTTGGGTGTGGAGTACTTACCTGGGCAGCTCCCATTTGGTGCGAGGGATGCAGGTGGGAATGTGGGGGGGCGCAAGAGCCAGGGCATTGGGTGTGGGGGGTGCAGGAGTCAGGGCAGGGGGCATGTGAGGGGGTGCAGGGGTCAGGGCAAGGGGCTGGGGTGTGTGTGGGGGGGTGTAGGGGTCAGAGCAGAGGGCTGGGGGTGTGGGCTAGGGTTGTGGGGGTGCTCCCTGCCCAGAGCGGCTCAAGGCAGGGGGCTGGAGGGGATATGCCCTGTTTTCACCCCCCTTCTCCAAGGCCCCATCCCCACCTCTTCTCCGCCTCCTCGTGCTGCGGCTCCGCTTCTCCCCCTCCCTTGCAAGGGCCATCAGCAGGGAGGGAGAGGAGGAGGGGCAGGAACGCAGCATGCTGGGGGAAGAGGTGGGGGAGGAGGGAGCTCGCCTGCCCTGCAGCAGCAGCTGGCAGGATCAAGCTTCTTCACCCAGCCCCCACTGGGGGGATGGGGCAGAGAAGAGCGGGCCGGGGCGGGCAGGATTTTTAATGGCCTGCTACTGTCTGCTGGGGTCCTGGCCTCGGTTCGGCAGCGGGCTGAGCGGGGCTGGTGGCTGGGGCCCGGCAGGCAGCAGCATGCCATTAAAAATCGGCTCGCGTGCCGTCTTTGGCACGCGTGCCAAAGGTTGCCAACCCCTGGTCTGGATGATACCTGAAGCAGGTATGGTAATGAAAACTTAATTTAGATGTTTTACTTATAGCTAATGGAAAATGTAAACTTCATAGTTTTTGGTAATATTGCAGTTTGTGTCATAATATACATATTATGGTTTTTCAGTTTACAAACAAAGGACAATTACCACTTGGATGGAGAATAAAGGACCCAAGACAATAGAGTTAAAGAGGTAAAAGCTATAATATAAACTTCTTGAAAGATATTTTTTAATTAATGGAACAATTCTTTTAACTGTCTCTAAAGAGGATTTGGGTCAGAAGGTTTATTATAACTTACTAACACAATCATTTTATTCTGGAATAGAAGTAGGACTATTGTAGATACGGCTCTGCTTTCATTGTGGTATAACATAGAGCATTAATAAATCAAAGCTCTTGTTGTAAGCCTGTTTTCAGCAAATAGTTTTGCTGTTCCTACAGCTTTTAAGATCATATTCAGTTCTGATATAAGGTGGTGCATCTCCATTGACTGTGATCAAGTTGTAGCTGCTCACATCTGTGTTTAGTTTGGAACATACTCTTCTTGCTGAGTATGAATGCCCAATCTTGCATTCATAAACTTATTCATAGGCTGGTGTGACAGCATCACTATTACAAATAAATGTAAACTTGATGTACAATCTTCATCGTTCTGCTGGTACAAGCTATTAAGTATAGTTTCTAAAACATAACTAAACCCACAAAGGTTTAATTTATGTGGTATCTGGCATGAAGTAATATTAGGCAATCTTTTCGGCAGAAAATAATAACC